CGGAAGCCGGCTCCACCCCCGGAGGCCGGCTCCACCCGAGAAACCCGGCACTCAGGCCTGGGAGGCCGAAAAACTCAGCTCCGCCCATCAGCCCTGCTCCCCCGCCTTCCGGAACCGGAAGAGGCGGGTACTTCCGGCTCCGGTGTCATGGCGCGCCCCCATCCTGAAGGCGTGCACGCCGTTCCCAATGGGAAGAGGGAGCAATTTGGGAGCCGGTTCTTGAGCGACCCAACGCGCGTCTTCCAGCACAACGCTTGGTAACGCCCTGCCCCACCGCCCGCCGCCCCAGGAGCGCTCGAGGAGCTGCTGGCCGCCCGCCGTCCCGCTGCCCACCCAGGGACCGGGCGCTCCGGGGCCAGCGACTCGCTCTGCCCGCAGCTGGCGCCGGGGCTCCTAAGCTGCCCGTTTGATTTCCCCAGGGACAATGTCCAGTGGTCGGAAGAGCAGGCCGCGGCGGCAGAGAAGAAAGTGCAGGAGAACAGTGCCCAGCGAGTGCCCCAGGAGAAGCAAGGTGCGCCCCAGTGCCCTCGATGGCACCACCAGCCGGCACACTGCTGGGCGCGCCCTCCCGGAGGACCAGGGCCGGCAGGAGCCTTTGTTACACGACTTCGCGTGGGGGGGAGCGGATGCGGGGAAGGGAAAGTGTGGCCTGTCTCTGAGAAGCTTGTTATGGATAGAGAGGAGGTGGGGATTTTGAGCGAGGAGATCTGGTAGGTCTTGATTTTGCTCTCTAGTGATTGAGTTCGTGGGTCGACTGGTGTGGATTTCGGTTCTTGGCAACCTCGAGAGAGAACTGTTCCCATTGGATTTCCTAGGTTGTGATCTTTATGGAAAGGAGACAGCCTGCACTGACGGGGGTCGCAGCGGGAATAAGTATTGGACTGCTAAATACCAATCGGTAGTTCGAACCTACCGCTGCTTCTTTGGAAGAAGCAGTCCACTTCCAGTCTGAAGCTGTCCACTTCCAGAGAGATTTACAGCCACCAAAACCATATGTTGAGTTGCTATGAGTCAGCATTGAGTGTTGACCGTGGGTTTGGGGAATCGAGTCTTTCTCCCACAGAGCTGCTGGGTGAGTTCGAACTGCCAACCTCTCAAACTGAGCAGTTTGACCACTGCAACACCTGGGTCTGGACTAGACTCGAATGTGGCTGGTCCGTGTCACCATGTGGTTACCTGATCACCTTAGAGGATGTCTCTTCTACATGGTCATACTGCATGAGATGTTGTTGACGCTAGGTTCAAGTGGTGGGATTCATGCCTGGTAGATGGTGCGGCTTTTCCTTGTGTGATGAGTGTGAGAGTTAGTGTTCCTTCTAAGGAATGGGTAGGGTTGTCTGTCCAGAGAAAAGGGCCCCTTGTGGAGAAGTGTATGATTTTACTGGACAATGCCCCCAAGTGTAAAACTAAGATTGGTTGGTTTAATATCCCCAAAAAACTGGAGGCCTGGGCTAGAGATTGCAAATTAATCCTCCCTGAGAGAGTGCTATGCAACAACTAGAATACTCCAGCTACAAAGTATTCTTTGTGTGATCTGAGAGACTAGAACAAAGCACGTTTGAGTTTGAAGGGATTTTGAAAATCATATAGCCAATATCCTCTTTTTACAGTTAAAGACATTTGGACCGCAGGACATTAAGTGCTTTGCCCAGAGGTAAGCAGTTAGTAACAGCAGTGATGGAACTAGAATCCAAATTCTTCATCTTTTTTCCTGCCTGCCCCACTACTCAAGGCCCTGTATTAACAAAGAGCAGAAAATCAGAATTTGGACTGCCTTTGAAGAGGCATCAGTCCACACATTTGTCTGTCCCGCTCTCTGATTCATCCCAATTGAGCTCCCCAGAGGAGCTGCCCGTGGTGACCAGTGAGCCCACAGGAACCTGCTGGGACCTTCAGTGGGTGGAGAGTTTGACCAGCCCTCAAAGGCAAAGGAATTGTTCTCTATGGCCCTGAGGAGTACTTGGAACTTTTGACTGTAGGTCACAAAACAAGTTTTTGCCTAATGTTGGCACTTTCTGATTGTTCAGAGGAATCCACAGTTATGGGAGCAATACTAAGAAGTAGCGAGTTCTCTGCCTGGAGGGTTGAAGCAGAAGTTGGAGGCACTGGCAAGGACAAGAGAGGGCATGTGTGTCACAGTCAGACTTTATAAATCACCCTCCGGAGGGCTTCTCGCCCCCAGAGTCTCTAGCTTTCCTTCAGGATAGTGTTGTAGAAAGGGGCTTCTGGTGAGGCAAGATGGTCATTGATATTTGACCCAAATGAAGCACTTGAAATACGGTTCTTAAAATTCTCTTTACAGTTGATTACGAGCTCAATGCCCGCAAATACTGGGATGACTTCTACAAGATCCACGAAGATGGGTTTTTCAAGGATAGACACTGGCTTTTTACCGAGTTCCCAGAGCTGGCACCCAGCCCAAACCAAAATCACCCGAAGAGCCTGCCCTCAGAGGCCAAGCGGAGGGAGACCCTGGAGTGTGACCGCAGTGAGGACGGACCTGGTTTAGCAGTAGAACAGGACATGTGTCTGTCGAACCGGGTGGCAGAGAAAACGGGGGCACCTTCTGTGGAGCAAAGTGTCACCCAGAAGCCCAGTCACCTGGAACAGGGTGCTGCCGAGTTTCCTGGATCCTCGGCCACCTACCGAATACTCGAGGTAACCTCTTGCCGTGGGAGTGGCGTTCGTGATGCTGCCCTGTTCTGCACATACGTGGCCCATCAAGGGGCCACAAACATGGCTTCTGTCGGATGAGAGTAACTAGACTTGACCTTTCAGTTGACCTGGGGATCGCCTCCAATTTTGAACTAGTAAAATGTCCTCAAAGTAGATCAGACATTTGGTAGCCTGGCAGACGGCAGTAGATACCTGAGGCACTGCTTGCCAGCACCGGCCCGGCACAGAAAGCCACGGTGATCTTCCTTCTCAAGGGGGGCGCTCCAGGCCGTTGCTTGTCAGAGCACTTCTTAGAAAAAGGAAGGGTAAAATTCGCCCCCGGGAAGCCCCTTTGGAAGCTTTATTAGCCTCCGGATTGAGTTTTGTGGGACTGCCACCTCTCTCATAGCAGCTGTGAGAATTAGTTGAGGTAATGTATGTGAAGGGGCCAAGCGCCATGCCTGGCACGGAGAATGCCCTTAGGAAGTGGTCACTGTCCTGGCGCTACTGCACTGCACACAGCCCTGTCATTGGGTTGGGGCTGCGGTGACCTGCTTTTCATGCGTGATTTCAACCCGCTGTTAAACCGTTTCCCACTCATGATCCAGCGAGTGGAGCTCAGTAAGAAAGGACTTCACGCACAGGCCCACTGGCTGGAACTCCACAGGGTTCTGCCACTAGTGAAAGGCTGTGCCCTTCCCTAAACCACGCAGAGGCGTATGTAGCTGCAGGGGGTGGAGGCTCTGGAAGCGTGTGAGTAACAGTTTCGTGTCTTCCCGCAGGTTGGATGCGGTGTGGGAAACACAGTCTTTCCAATTTTACAAACTAACAAGTAAGTGCAGGACAAGGCTTCACGTTTCATGTACCAGGACTCGTAGTGGACACTGGGGAGAGCAGAAGATGAGCTTCTTGCCTGCCCACCACCCACGCCCATCATGTAGGGCAAGGAACACCTAGCAGGCCCTCAGAAAGGGTCCAGGGAACTGTAGATGGGCGTTGTGACCTCTGCTCCCAGGGCAGCCACAGTGCGGTAGGGGTGGAGAGGTGGTCCAAGAGTGTTCCTGGCAGGGAGATGGAGATGGAGAGAGCCCCAAGACAGCTCTCTAGGAGAAGATGCAGGATTTGAATGGGGCATTAGGCAAGACTTGGTTTGGATGAGAGCGGTTTCTGTTAGTGGAGAAAGACGTGTGGTGAGACCCTGTGGGTTTTATGTCAGCCAAATGCACAAGGTCTGGAAAGGGACTTTCACCAAAATGAAATAGGATGTGCCTAAGAGGTACTGGTTTCTCTGAAGGATTCACACTTCATCATTTGAGCCTGTAAACTCAGGTCCACAGGAAGGGCTCGGCCGAGCCCAGCCTGTAAGCTCACGTCTGCTTCGCTGTGTTTTCTGCCCATTTCAGTGACCCGGGGCTCTTCGTTTACTGCTGCGACTTTTCATCGGCAGCTGTGGAGCTGGTCCAGGTAAGCACAGTGATTTCCGTTTCACTGGCTGGAGGAAAAGCTTCCTCCCGACAGGAAAGGTGTGCTCACTGGCTTCTTGCTTTCCTGCCGGCTGACTGGAACGGCCGGGAGGAAAGGGCCCGTGGAGGCTGAGTTGCCACCTGCGGCTCTGGCATGTGGGGCAGGTTTCTTCACCTCTGCAGCGGGTGGGTGACAGACTGAGTGACATGAGATGGCTGTTCCAGGCCGAGTTCTCCGGACTCCATAGGTGGTAGGTAAGCTGAAGCGGTGTGGGCCAATAAAGGGGGGTGCACTCACCTCAGATACAGGCTTGGTTGTGGCTCTTTCTGTGTCTACGTGCATCATTGTAGGTACTGTAGGTCTCTGAATATCGCTGGCAGAGCACACAGGTGAGGGCCCAGGCATGGAAACGTCTCAGACAAAACCTAGGCTCGAGGGGGCAGGACCACAGCTCCCCCGGGGACAGACCGACTGCGTCGACCGACAACACAGTTCATGTTGAGTTGCATTTGGAGTCTGAAAAGCTGAAGCATGGCGGGTAAGAGACAATGACTGGTCTTCTCCCACCGGAGCAAAGAAGAGGGAAGAAAGCCAACGGCTACAGGGAGCAGAGGACGGGGACCCCATGCCTAACGACCACGACCAGCCAACCTCTCGGACGGGCATCACCAAAGAGGAGAAGGGGAGGAACAAAGAAATGAGATTTACGGGACAGACCCGCCTTGCTGGTCCGGCGGAGACGGGAGGAACCCCCGACCGGAGCCTTCAGACACCCTTCAAGCACGGCATGAGGCCATTCCCAGAGACCACCTTTCAGCCA